ATATATATATGTGTGTGTGTGTGTGTGTGTGCGTGCGTGTGTGTGTGTTTGAAGTTATGTAAAAGATGAGAAAATTGGTGTTTTCAAATTCTTATGCATTATGTAAAGTGGTGTTATTTGTCAACGAACCAGAATTTACTCTTTGAACATTGCATATATCTCGCTGAATTCTCAGCTGTTTTCTATACACATCTTCGGCATTCAAAAAGCATGTTTTCCAAACGTTACCCTTTGTAATCCAAGTTTTCCTGTCGATTTTATTCGTGGTTTGACTAACATATTAGATTGTAACGTATCAAACTGTAATGGCGAAACGTGACCTTAATTTGAAAATAAACAACAAAACGAAACATGCTCTGAAAGTGTCTTCTTTGTTATTGATAAAACATATCTTCAAACACGTGCGTAAATATAATATTACAAATAATATATTCCAGCATTTGGCAAATATATTTAATTGATCATTCCAAATATTTGTTTTCTTGTTATGTTCTCGAAACAGATTTCTCGTCATTTCCTGCCTTGGGTCTTAAAATTACACTACAAACCTGGAAATTTTTCATAAATGTATGTAGTCGTGTAGATTAGCAATAAAACGAACTAAGAATCTATTGTTCTATTATGTATATATCAATAATTTACATAAATGATTAAAACCATTATGCATACGTATTTTAATGTTTCAATGCTTCTGTTTTGGTTGGTGCATTCTCTGGCCTTCCACGTGTTGTCTGATACATTATTAACATTATTTCATGTCAACTCTATCACCATTAACTTTAGATATTTACAATTCTATAAACTGCAAAAATCGTATCTTTGACACACACACACACACACACACACACACACACACACACATATATATATATATATATATATATATAAAGGGTATTTCAATAACTTAGACCTATTTTAAATGTGAATTAAGTTTAAGCGTCTAATGATTCTTTTCGTTTTCTTTCACATTTAACAACTCAAGTCTTTGGCAATTTCAACGATGGAAAGATTAACAATAAAACAACGTGTTAAAGTTATCGAAGCCTATTACGAAAATGGACGTTCAAACAGAAGTGCAATGAGAAGTTACCAGGTCGCATCATCTCTCGAAAAAGCAAAGTCAATTGGCCACGAGGATCGTGCGACCTGACGCCTTTAGATTTCTTCCTTTGGTGTCATCTCAAGTGTAAGGTCTATGCCAACAAGCCAACATCAATTCAACAACTGAAAGATGAGATAATAAGGCATATTGGTGAGATCGAAGAGCAACTATGCAGAGACGTCATCAAAAATTTTAACTATCGAGTGGAGGTGTGCCGCCAAAGCCTTGGCAGACATTTGGGTGAGATTATTTTTCACACATAACTGCCATGACTTAAATAACATGATCCAATAAATAAATAAATAAATAAGTAAATTTTCGCCAATAACACTGATTTATTTACTGCTGACTTTGATCCGTCTTAATGAAACACCCTATCTCTCTCTCTCTATATATATATATATATAGATAGATAGATAGATAGATAGATAGATAATATAATGGTAAATATACACATATATATATATTTGTATAAAAAAATTATTCCAAGAGGATAGAACACAATGTCCAGGATAGAGTAAGGTCAGACCTACAAATTCTTTGAATTTGTAGGTCTGATGAATTGGATCGTATTTACGATTTTAATGGAATAAATAATGACCATGGAATATTAGTTTTATTATTAATATTATTATTATTATTATTATTATTATATATATATATATATGTGTGTGTGTGTGTGTGTGTGTGTGTGTGTGTGTGTGTGTGTGTGTGTGTGTGTGTGTGTGTAGAATTAGAATTAATGTGGAGAAACGTGTCACTTAACTGAATGGTTTTATTTCAGTCATGCCGACTTCGAAGTTTTGTCAGCGCATTGTAGTAATGCCTTCACTCTTCAGGGCTATTGACTTTATTACAATGCGCTCACGGAACAACACTCAGTTAGGTGACAAGTTTCCCCACATTAATTCAGTTAACGTTCTAGCCTTACATTTTGATATCGAGTAATTTATGACAAAAACCCGCCTGCCTAAAATGCCTTTCCACTAGCAGACTACGGAAAAAGAAGCAGCGTTTTTGTCACCTAAAAACTCTTACAATTTAATACTATATATATATATATATATATATATATATATATATATATATATATATATATATATATAAGCGTTGCTTCTGATCAGTACTTGGGTGGAGAATAGTTTTCGACTCTACGTAAGGTCGATGCCATTGACACCGTGAGAATAAGAAGAGTTGGGGATCCCGCGGACTGTCCAGAATGTATCTAGTCAATTTGAACGCCTCAACCGAGCATTCTTCATGCCTTGTGTAAGCTTTTCTTCTTAGCAAAACATTGCATCACTCACGTTCAACAAGAGCCTAGCTTTGACTCTCTGCAAGTTCTCCCTTTGTCAATGGCTGCAATGGCTACTGAAATGGCGGGTATTTCCGATCATAAAGATTACGGAAAAGATGACAAGGCAACTACTGGATATCTTTAAAAGAAGACTTTGCAATCTGCTTTGAAAACTGAAACAGTGCTTGAATAAACGTGTAAGATCCAAAGAAGAATCCTTTGAAGATATTCCTAAGTAGACTCATTTTAAGCCTACAAAATACATTAAATTTATATTAGATAAAATATGGTTTCTTTTAAACTAAAATACATAAAAATAATCTTCGTCAAACTTTGCTTACTATAGGCAAAGACGAACAACATTAAGCAATATTACCCAATGCTAAACAATCATAGTGATATTCCACTAATTGTAATGTGCAACCATTGCATTCATAGCAAGTGCACCTCAATTTTATATAAAGGTCTGACCGGAAAGTATCCTGATGTTCTGATTATCTCAAGAACCAATTGTGTAACCTTGATGCAATTAGGCAATCTTTTAAAGGAGACGTTGCTTCACATGTGTGAACGGACATTCCCATGTGGCATTGTTCAATCAGCAGTGAAACACCAGTGAGTGAGCTTGTGTATTGTGTGACCATTCATCTGAAATCTATTTCACTAATTGTTGTGTCAGAAACCTACCCCCCCTCTTGAAGATGAACTTGTCTGCGTCTGTGAACAAAGATAGTGGCATGTCAGTTGACATGGGAAGAAGATAGATAGACAGAGAAGTTCTTAGCTGAGCTAGTTATTGACTACTCAGGCGATTTCTGTACCTTTTTACCAACCTATTAAAACCCTTTTTATTGTTACGTGTTATTTGGCGTTTGTCTCTACTAACCTCAAATCAACATCATAACACTAATAAAAAAAGGTTTTTAGAAATTATTCAAGGACCAAAGGCCAGATAAAATATTTGCTTATAACGCTTCAAATTTAGAAGTGAATCCATTGAAAATGATACGAAGAGTGAAAATATAGAACAAAAGTGGACGGAAATCAAAGGAAATCATCAGTTGACAGTGCAAGAATGAGACGCGGTGTAGATCCCGTGGACTGTCCAGAAAATAACTAATTTGGTAAACCTGAGTTTCCCATTTTTTCATATCATGCGCAAGTTTTTTTTTTTTTTTTTAGCAAAACATTACATCACCCATCTCTAGCATTAGTCTGACAGCCCTACGTTTCAGGTTTTGTTCTCTGTGATTTCTGGCTATTTCAGATGCTAAAATCGGTGTCGAAAGTGAAACCGAGAAGTGAAGTCGAGACTAAGATAAACATAAAAACGCTACTGATATCAATCTCAAAAGAGAAATTTAGAACTATTTTGAAAATTGGAAAGAACGCTGGAATAATTTCATGGGGCTACTTTGGTATGGTGGGTAATTTGAAAGAAACTAAGGCTCCATTTTCCTATGAAGACTATTTTTTCGTTAATATTAAATTGCTGTATTCCAGACAGGCGTTGTATAAGAAAAATAAACTCATATTAAAAAAAAAAGAAAAAGAAATCGTAGTAATAAGGATGTTTTGAATTAATAGAAACAACTTGAAAATTGTTTCCAAATTTTACCTATATATAAAGATTACTTGCTGAAATATTCGAAGATAAATTATAGAACATATTGAAAAGCGTTTGCAAGTGTGTGCCACCCACCAAGTTGTAGGAATTGTTATGTTCGTCACCAGTTCAACAGCAAGTCGTACTGAAAAGGAATTGGTTTTTAACGTGTTTCCTGGCAGTGAATCCATAAACACAAAAGTCAAAATTTGTCTGACTTCATCTCGCCTTTCGACGCATTACAGGTGACAGTAAGTTCAAAAGAACCATCTGTTTAACCTTTTGTGCGGGATGACATGCAAATCGGAATCGTTTCCATGAATAAAAGCTCGGATATTTCATTGTGTTCTTCCCAGTTGTGCAGTTTTGGAAGGTTGTGGTTTATCTGTGGGGATAGGAGGTAGTTTTTTCCCTCGTTCGTTTTGTTATTAATATTATTATTATTTGTTTTTAATAATTTTCTTTTTCTTCCATTTTTCTTCTTCAGAACATTGAAAAGTTTAGTCTTGTCACCTTAGTTTTACCTGACTCAGCGTCGAAGAAAGCAGAATGGATACACGTGAAGACATATCTATTCACGTACGTACACGTGCGCGCGCATGCGCATAAGCACAAACACTGTGCGAGCATATATTTGCGCTTATCAAATCGGCTAAATTGAGACTGGCTCTTACAAAAAAAGAAGACAAAAATACGTGCATAAATATATGTACGAATTTATGAGGAAAATTAACTTAGGTAAATAGAATCTTACTTTATAAACAAAACATTTTATGCACACATACGACTGTGTGAGCAGAGAAAAAAGATATAAAGATATATATTAGTATATATGAGATATATATCAGTATATATGGGCTATATTAGTAAATATAGACAGAGTGAAAAAATATACTAAGACAGAAATTCACAGACAGACAGGCAAGATACATATAGAGATATGCAACGATAGATATATATATATATATATATATATATATATATAGATAGAATAGCTATAGATAGATAATAATGCCATGCAAGATAGACAGACATAAAAAAGACTGAAATATATATATATATATATATATAGATAGATAGATAGATAGATAGATAGATAGATAGATAGATATATGAATATACTGTGTTAGAGTGATAGATATACGTAAAGATACTGTGATAGATGGATAGATAGATAAGAACAGACAGTGATATATATATATATATATATATATAGATAGATAGATAGATATAGATAGATAGATAGATAGATAGATAATGAACATGCTGTGGTGGATAGATAGATAGATAGATAGATAGATAGATAGATAGATAGATAGATAGATAGATACATATGAACATACTGTGATAGATATACATATAGATAAATTGATAGATATAAATATACTGTAATAGATTAGATAGATATAGATAGATACAAGCTTTGATAGACGGGTAGAAAGATATGAACGCAATCAGATAGATAGATAGATAGATAGATAGATAGATAGATAGATAGATAGATAGATGTTTCGTGGCTTCCCACTGTCTTTTCTACCAACATTTTCATGGTAACTGCTCTGATGAGC